CCTATTTATAGTGTTAGCAAACCAGGTTAAAAGACTGAAAAAGGAAATAAAATGAAGTCACATAATATAAAATCTGTCATGGCTAACAAGCTGACAGATTTTGACTGATCAGAAATTAGTATGACACGTGATGACCAAAATAGAATAAAATAATGACAAAAATAAAAAGATTTGATTTTTTTTAGATCTTTCAACTTTTTTAGCTAAATAGTGCATAAAATAAAATAATAAAAATTATTTTAAAATGTATAAAATAAAAACAAAGATTAGAAATAAAAAATGTAATATTTTTTTTGTGATTTTGAAAATGAAAACAGAAAACAAAGGTAAAAACAATAACATTTCACTACCAAATGAGTTATCTCATTCATTCAAGATTAAAAGGCTCATTAAAACTATACAAAGGAACTTAGTCAAATTTATAGGTATGATGCACTTCAAGTAATTACATTAAACTTAGACATACGTGACAACTATTTAATTGTATCTGATAGACTACTGTCTTTAGAAACACTTTCATTAAACAAATTAATGAAAGTTTTGCTATACTCTATCAACAATCATCTTTCATTCATCTGAGAAAATTTTCTTTTATAAGACTTTTATGAGTAGTCAAGTAAGGTTAAACTTCACTAAAGTTATTCAACGTATACAAATGTGCTTGAAGAACTAGTTCTCGGATAAATGTCTTAACATTTAAACCTTGAATATCTCTACCATCATAACATCCATCATGATGAGACTCAAGAATTCCTATAGAGCTCGCTTCTGACAAATAGTTTGTACAAAACTCAATAGTTTATTCTGTGATGTACCTTTATACGATCTAAACTTCAGGGCGATGATGATTCTTTGTATACCCTTTAAAAATATTCATGTAACGCTCTACCGCATACACCCACCGTAAATAATTCAAACCATAAATTCTAATCTCCCTTACTAGATGAACAACTAAGTGAACCATAATATCAAAGAATGATGGAGGGAAAAACATCTCTAATTAGCGCAAGATAATTGCATCTTAATGTTCCAAGTCGTCTAAATTTCTAGGAACAATAACTTTACTACATATAACATTGAAAAATAAGCACGATTTGATTACAATTACCCTTACATTTCTTGTTGAAATGCTACAAATAGCCACTGATAGAAGTTGTTGCATTAAGACATGATAATCATGAGATTTTAAGCCAACTAACTTGAGATCATTCATTGACGCAAATTTTTCACATTTGATAAGTATCATTGAAGAACTTTGATACCCTGTAAATATTAAAATATATTTTTTTCTTTTTTGGACATAATGTGGCATGCTAGAGGCAAATATGTTTCATTTCCTATTTCGTTTGGGGCTAACTCTTCTCGTATACCCATCATAACCATATCTTAATGGGATTTCTTAGTATCGTTTGTCTTGACTTTAATGTTGAAAAGTGTTTCAATCAAATTATCACATACATTTTTCTCCACGTACATCATTCTAAGACAATGTCTTACATCAAGACTATACCAGTATGGAAGATCAAAGAACACCAACCTCTTTTTTCAAATGTTTTTCTCCACAAGCTTTTTTTTGTTTCTTTCCAAAGACAAACATTAACGTGTTATTAACTTTTTACAACTTTCCTCCCGGTTAAGAGCTTTGGAGTGATATCAAACTCCTGGTCTTCATTAAAAACCTTATGTAATCTACGGTATGGATGATTAGGTCTTAAAAATTTTCCATGCTCAAGATAAACTTTCTTTTTTACTTTTTTCAATTGGCGGTGTCATGTATCAACTTTGCATATAGGACACACTTTATGTCCCTTGACGATGTAGCCAGACAAATTATCGTATGCAGAAAAGTCATTGATTGTGCAAAACAACATGGCACGCAACTTAAAGTTATCACCTGCACACAAATCATCAACATTAACACCTTTTTCCCACAAAAATCTTAAATCTTCAATCAATGGCGTTAAATAAACATCTATGTCATTTTCTGGTTGTCTTGGACCCGAAATCATCATTTATAGCATCATATAATTGCGCTTCATGCACAACAACGAAGATAAGTTGTAAATTATGAGAAGAACAAACCATGGCGTATGGTTAGTACTCAAATTACCAAAAGAGTTCATTCTGTTGGTAACAAGTTCAAGCCTAAGGTTCCTCGGTACAAGGGCGAAATTTGGAGACAAGGAATAAATTTTCTTCCATTGCAATTGATCAGTTACATGACGAATTTTTCCATCACACACTCTTTCATCTGCATGCCATCTAGTATTCTTTTATGTCACTAATATTAGCAAACAGTATCTTGAATCTTTGAATTATCAGTAGGTACTACATCACCTTGAAAGGAATCCCTGGCTAGTTACACTATCATTCTCATCAACACCATTGTCCTTTTACTTGTAGTGTGACTCCTCACATCTCTGGAACTCATTCAAGTTTTCAAACTCTTTCCTATATAAGATGCAATTATTACGACATACATGTATTTTGACATATTTCAAACCCATTGGAAACAATATCTTATTGACCTCATAGCTACGGTTCAAAACCGTGTTACCTTCGGGAAGCATTTCTTTCAACAATTCAAGCAGTTCAATGAAACTTTTATCCGTCTACCCACCTTTTTCCTTAACATTAAATAGTCTTAACACAACTGACATTCTTGTAAAACTTTTACATCCCAGATACAACAAATCTTCCATGTCTCTTTGTAAAGTATCTACCACATTAGCTTTCTTGAAAGCTACTACTCCAATATCACGAATCATGTCTTTTAGAGTATCATTCATAAATTCATCATCTTCAACTGTATGTGACAGTGACTCTTTTTTATCACTTCATCATACCATACCCATTTCATTTTATTTTGACTAATTCCATTACAACCATAATGATTGAATATGACATCCCTTGGATGTTTTTTTTTCTTCGTATTAAAGCAATTTTTACAAGGATACTAAAAAATCTCATTATTTTTAGGAAGGTATTTTTTCCAGCAAAATCAAGAAATTATATTAATACATTCTCATACTCTTTACATAATCTATTGATTTTCATCTAACTACGATCCATAATCACATAAAGCTTCTAAAAATAAAATAGAAATAGTACACAGACAACAAAGCAGTAAACAACAAGACAGTCTCAAAATAATAATAACAACAACAACAACGACGATAACAACAACAACAAACAACAACACCGGTAATGGAGAATTTGTACATACCAAAAATGTGATGAAATGCTTGTAAAGAAAATGTGCTTATTCGAGCTTCCTTCCTACTTGAAGAAAAATGATGTTCTTTCGTTCGCTAGGGCTCAAAAATGAATGAGCTAGACTTTACATTAACTATAAGGGATTAAAAAATTTAGAGTGTATTTATCTTGGTTTACTAAAAATCAAGATAATGTATCCGACATAAAATCTATAAAAAAAATACATTTTTTGGTTCCAAAAGGAATAAATTGAGAGAGTTTTTATCTCAATTTATATAAAAACCGAGATATAATATCCGACATAAAATCTATAAAAAATAAATACTTCTTTTTGGTTTCAAAAGGAATAAATTTAGAGAATTTTTGTCTCGGTTTATATAAAAACTGAAATATAATATCTGATATAAAATCTATAAAAAATAAAAAGCGCATTTTTTATTCTAAATAAAATATAAAATTGCAGGAGTTGGAAATCAAATATCAAATTATGAGCAATATTTTATGTCGGTATTTTATAAAAAATACGAGTAAAAATTTCGTTATAAAAAACGTTACTTATACATACCTATCTCTCTGCAACGTGAAAAATGAGTGACTTTCTTTATTCTTCAAGAGGATGTGTCTCTCATTTTTTACTGACTTTCATGCCATGAGTGAATATGGACACGTCACTCCCCACGTTTTCGTACGTAGATGAGTAATCCAATCATAAGAGTATGTTTGTTTCATAGATTTAAAATTTATTTTCAAAAATGTATGAGGTTGAAAATCATGAAAATATGTTCGGATATCTTTTATTTCTGAGAATATGATTCACTCATGACTTTAAATTTTTTATTCTAATATAAAAAGGTAAAATTCTTACATTCCCATAAAAATAAAAGAACCACCCGTAATCTCCTACTTAAAATTAATTTAACTCTTTTATGTATATTTTAAAAAATGAATTAAATATTATATTTTATAAATATTTCAAAAAATTTCAGTTATTTACTAAACACATATAAAAAATAAAATTCCTGATATTACTATTTCAGAAAATAATATTTTCAAGATAAATGAATTTAATCCTTTAAATTGTTTCAGTTGACGGACGTTGGTTAAAATAAATGGACAAATTAGTAACAAAAGGCGACTAAGAACCTTAGGCGATGGGCATTACTAACTCGGTGAAAATGTAATATCAGACTTATTTATGTCATTGCTTTTACTTAGAAGTATTAATCTAAGGGCAAAAGCTATCCTTAAATGTAAAAAATAAATACATAAATAAATATGAACAGGTCGAAACAAGAATGAGTATTTTGACATCTATATTAATGGATAATATTTATGTTTAAGAGTTGATGGCAGTAACTGAATTTTATTTAGCTTTTTTATTATTTAAAATTAAATGTATTTAAAAATAATAACATTAAATATGATAAATTAGTTTGATATTAATCTCTAGATTAATCAGTACCCAGTTCCAAAACAAAAAATTAGTTAGTTGAAATCACTTTGAGGAGTCCTATATTTTGTGAACAGAGTCACCGCGTGGGGACGCTCAAGGGTCACATGACTTCAGTTTCTCAAACAAACGTCCAAAATCCAACGGCTGACGCATAAAAACAAGTCCAAGTTTTTCGCCAAGTGTTGCTCACATATTCATCCGTGTTTCTCTCAACCTTTGCCACGTCTTAACACCATTACTCCATGGCCCTCGAAGCACGTATATATTAATTATTTTAATCAATCTCCACCTTTATACTTCGCTTGAACATAGAACAATTTGTTTCAAAAAGATGAGTCAGGAGAAACCTAAAAGGGACGAAGGAATAAAATACGGAGATGAATTCAACGTACAGGGAGACATTGAAAGAAAGACGGTGGCGCCGGAGGACGCAGTAATGATGCAGAAAGACGGTGGTGTCGGCATAACTGAAACCGATGTTCCAGGGCGGCATGCTATCTCGGAGCCTATCGGTGGCCAGGTTCTTGTTTCATTTTCATTATTTGATTGATTGATTTGATTTGGTAGATTTTTAAGATAAGTATTGATTATTATTATTATGAAAAGGCGGTGGAGCAATTTAGTCAAAATGCGGCGATGAATACGATGACGCCACTTTCTCTTGTTGAGAGAATGGGCGTCGGAGCTGGTGGTGGGAGCACCCCTGGGATAACCATAGGGGAAGCACTCGAAGCCACTGTCCTGACAGCAGGAAAGAAACCCGTGGGATGGAGCGACGCAGCTGCTATTCAAGCAGCGGAAGTTAGAGCCAGCGGACGCACAAACATCCTCCCTGGCGGTGTTGCCGCGGCGGCACAATCAGCCGCGACGCTCAATGCTCGATTAACAAAGGATGATGACAAAACCAAACTCGCTGATGTTCTTGCGGTATATGCCCAAATTAATATTCGAGTAACATGATGCGTAGGCGTGCTTTTATTTAAGTTTCAATATTATTTGTTGTTATGATTGATGCAGGATGCGACTACGAAGTTACCGGGGGATAGAGCAGCGACGAGGAGAGATGCTGAAGGTGTGACGGGCGCAGAAATGAGAAATGATCCGTCGCTAACTACTCATCCTGGGGGAGTGGCTGCGTCTGTGGCAGCCGCAGCTAGGCTTAACCAAAAAAAATAATAACTAGTTTGATACCTAACTAGCTAGGTAGTAGCTAACATATACATATGTATATTAATATAATGGGTATGCTTTTCTGCATATGCTTGTGTTTACTTTAATGAAATGAAAAATCTGAGCCAAAAAACAAGATTCACACTTTTTTTTCTTTAGCGCAGAAAACATTACATACTAATGTTTGCAAAGTATATATTAAATCAACGAAAGAATATTACAAAACTGTATTAAATTATTATTATTATTTTCGGTTTTATCTGAAAAAGAAATAGGGGTGATAAAATTGATAGATTGAATGAATATGAATTGTTAATGGATGGATCAAAACAATTCATTAATCCATTAGCAATTCACTAAACTCTAGTAATAAAAATCCAATCTATCTATTAAAAGATAAAATTCATCTAATTCATCTAATTGATAACATCAATCTAAAAAATTAATTTAAAATTTTTAAATTATTTTTTAAATTTTACAGAATATAATTTAAATATTTTGAATTATTTTTTAAATTTTTTTAAAAAATTTAAATTTCACAAAATAAATATTAATATTCTTAATTTAATAAGTGATAACATAATATCCAATAGATTTATAAAATGAGATGGATGAATTAAATTCATTCATATGAGTTAGTGGATAGATTGGATCAAATCCATTAAATTATTTTTTTGTCTTATGAATGGATATTATTTAAATGAATTTCATTACCACTTTTAAAGTGTTCGTTTTTAAAGTGTTCGTGAAATCTGAGTCGTCTGTGTTTTATTTTATTTTTTCCAAGGTAGGAAGGCTAAGTAATTTTAGAATATTACTTATATGATTCAATTCTTTAGATGGTGAGTATCAAAGTTTGTACTCAATGAAGACAGGTAATTGCAAGGAAACAGTACTAGTTTTATTAGCTTTTTATTTTATTTTTTCCAAGGTAGGAAGGCTAAGTAATTTTAGAATATTACTTATATGATTCAATTCTTTAGATGGTGAGTATCAAAGTTTGTACTCAATGAAGACAGGTAATTGCAAGGAAACAGTACTAGTTTTATTAGCTTTTTATTTTATTTTTTCCAAGGTAGGAAAGGCTAAGTAATTTTAGAATATTACTTATATGATTCAATTCTTTAGATGGTGAGTATCAAAGTTTGTACTCAATGAAGACAGGTAATTGCAAGGAAACAGTACTAGTTTTATTAGCTTTTAAATCTGCAAATTCATTATATCAGCAAATTCATCATCTATCCTAATTTGTTCATACTAAATTGGTAAATTGGTGTTCTCATTGACCATAACTCCCTCCATTCAGCATCTCCGCCAACACTAATACTTTCACTGTTGAATTTCATGACCTTCAAGTTTGTACTCCACCATTTTAAATTTGCGCCCTCAATTTAATATTTTTTAGTAGAATTTTTTATGAGATAGAGAATTTTGTATTTTTGTTTCATATAAAAGTGTAAGATTACATCTCTATTTATAGTATTCTAAGAAGAATTCTAGACATACTAATTTTAAAGAGTTTCTTAACATTAAAATTTTCAAAAATATTCTAAAAAGTATTATAATTTTAAAAAATATCTAGACACTCTAATTACTACAAAATTTTTTTAGAAACATTATCCAAAATTACCTAAGTCCAAAATAACTAAATTTAAAACGCTAAATAATATGTTTAGGCCCAAATTAAGTTTAATCTTTCAACATCTTTCTTTAAACTTGATTTGTGATTTCAAACATACTCCTTAACTTCACGAAAATATTTAACTTGAGTAGTTTGGTGAAAATGTCGGCAGTTTAATTTCGAGACATCACATACTTCAACTTTACCTTGTACATCTATCTTATTTCGATTTCTTTACGTCCTCGCGGAAGTGTAGTAAGCTCTCACGTATCATTCTTTGTGATTGACTTGAATTCTTCGTCCATGATATCTCTCCTGTTTATATTTTCAACCGTTTTTTGATAGTTTAGAGGCTCGCAATCACCAAAAAGACAAAAGAGGTTAATGTCGTTTTGGTTTTCGGTTACTTCATAAAGCTCTTCAATACTCCTTAGTCGTGGTGTCCTCTCACTTGAACTTGTTTCATCCAACGTTGGTGTCGGTGAGTCAGGTGGTGTAATATGTTCCTCTATCATTGGTTGTTCCATTTTATTTTCTTCTTCAAAGTAAGGAAGAAAATCGTATTTGTCTTCTTGAACACTCCAATTCCAACAATCTTCTTCTTCGAACTCCAAGTCATGACTTATGACTATCTTTCCACTATTTGAATTATAGAGCTTGTATCCTTTGGAGCTTGAGTCGTAACCCACAAATACGTACTTCTCACTTTTATCATCGAGCTTTGTTCTTCTTTTATCTGAAATGTGGGTATGACAATGCTTCCAAACACTTTGAGGTGTGAGATCCTTGACTTTCTTCCACTCCATGTTTCTTGTGGTGTATTCTCATGCACACTTCTTGTCGAGGAATGGTTTATCAAGTAAACTGCACATGCCACAGCTTTGGCCCAAAACTATTTTGGCATCTTCTTGCTCTTAAGCATGCTTCACACCATATTAAGTATGGTCCAGTTCTTTCTCTATGCTACTCCATTTTGTTATGGCGATCTTGACGCTGTTAGTGGGCGGAGGATTCCATGGTCTTTACAATATTTGTTGAACTCATTTGAAGTAAACTCTCCTCCTTGGTCATATCTCATGGTCTTAATGGAAATACTACTTTCTTTCTCCACTAAGGCTTTGAACTTCTTAAAGTTTTCAAACACTCCCGACTTCTTCTTCAAGAAATAAACCCACATTTTTCTAGAATAATCATTAATAAAGAGGAGAAAGTATTTACTCATATCAAAAGAGATTGGATTTATTGGTCCACAAATATTGATGTGTATGAGCTCTAGCGGTTTTGTCGCTCTTGACGTTGATTTCTTTGGAAAGCTTTTTTGGAATTGCTTCCCAATTAGACATCCTTCACATAGTTAGGATGGGTGGTTTATACTAGGCAAACCTCTCACCATCTCCTTCTTTGACAAACATTCTAGACTGTCGAAGTTGAGGTGTTCAAATCGTGGATGCCATAGCCACGAAGAGTCAGTATAGAAAGCTTTGAGACACTTTGCCACATCATTTTGAATGTCCAAGAGGAACATCTTATTCTTTGACATAGGCACCTTAACAATCAAGTTATGTCCATAATCTTTTAAAAAAAGACTATGTTCTTTCAAGTGGATGTCATAATCTTTCTCTAATAATTGTCCCAAGCTCAAAATATTATTCTTCATGTTAGGAACATAGTAGACATTGGATATAAATTGATACTCTCATTCTTCAAGCGTATGAGAATTTTACCTTTTTCTTTTATCGGTATCTTTGAGTCATCTCCAAATGAGACATTGACAATTGTCGCTTTATTGATCTCTACGAACATGCTTCGATTTCTTCACATGTGGTTGCTTGCACCGGTGTCGAGGTGCCACTTGTTTCTTTTCTCTTCAAATTGTTTTTGGTACGTGAGCAACAAAATTTATTCTTCTCCATATTTTTCTTCTACAAAGTTAGTTTCTCCACAACCTTCTTTGAGAATCTAAACTCAGATGCGTAGTGACCGATCTTGTTGCAGTTGAAGCACTTGATTTGTGACTTGTTGCAACTTGACTATGAATTTCCTCTTCCACGACCTCTTCTTGCTTGTGGATTCCAACTTATTTCTCCATTATTGAAGTTGTTGGAGTAGTTGTTGTGACTACCTCTTCCTTCTCCTTCATGTCCTCGTCCACGTCCACGATCTTGGCCATGACCTCGTCCTCTTTGGCTCTTGTAATTCATATAGTTTTCTTCTTTTGCATTGAGTTGTAGTAGTTTCTCCATAGCCTCTTTTTGTTTAATTTTTCTCTTTTGCTTTTCTTCGTATGCGTGTAAGGAACCCATCAGTTGCTCAATAGTCATGGTCTTTAAATCATTATTTTCTTCAATGTTGGTAACAATGAATTCAAAACTTGGATTTAAAGTGCGAAGTATTTTCTCCACAGCTTTCACCTCATCAACATCTTCACCATTTCTTTTAAGTTGATTGACTACGAACAATACTCGAGAAAAATAATCAAATTGACTCAGACTCTTCCATAAATAAACTTTCAAAGTCACCTCTAAGAGTTTGAAGATGAATCTTTTTCACATGCTTCACTCCTTGGTTGCAAGTTTAAAGCTTGTCACATGCTTCTTTGGTCGTCGTTGCATTGGAGATCTTCTCAAATGTACCTTCATCCACCGATTGATAAATGAGGAAGAAAGCTTTCTTGTCTCTCTTTCTTGCCTCCTTCAATGTCTCATTTACACTTTGGCTTAGTGAGGCTTCATATTGCTCCTTGAAACCTTTCTCAACGATATCTCACACATCTTAAGCTCCTAGTAGCGCCTTCATCTTGACACTGCAATTATCATAGTTGTTCTTTGTGAGCATCGACATTTGGAAAGAGAAACCTCAATTCGCCATCTTTTGAGGACCTTGAAGCTCTGATGTCACTTTGTTGGAAATAAATCCTTTTAGGTTTAGAAAAAGTGTGTGGACATATTAGAGGCTTAAAGAGAAACTTGATAGATAGGAGAATTCTTTATGGATGAGAGAACTTTGTATTTTTGTTTGATACAAAAGTGTAGGATTCTCAATTTATAGTACTTTAAGGAGAACTCTAGAAAAACTAATTTTAGAGAGTTCTTAACTTTAGAAATTTCAAGAGCACTCTAAAAAAATATTACAATCCTAAGAAATACTAAACGCTCCAATTACTACAAGAATTTTCTAGAAACATTACCCAAAATTACCTAAGCCCAAAATAACTAAACCCAAAAAGCCAAATAATATGTTTAGGTCTAAATCAAATTTAATCTTTCAACATAACTTCCTTATGCATGGCGGGTGAAGTTTTATCATGGTTCCAATGGCCAATCGCTTACTTGACATGCTTTCTTCAATCTATAGAATTCAGATTCGTACATGTGTTAAACACCAT